CATGGTGACGGCACAAGCATGTGCTTGGGCATAATTGAAGCCTGGCTAAATCTTACAACGTTACTCACAATATAGAAGATTTCTTCTCATTATTATCATTATTAAATGTACAACAAATGGTCTTCATATTTCAATTAATTTGTTTACTTTGTATTTCATTATTTTTTATGTGCTAGCTTTTTAAATTTGCATATATTTTAAACTTGGCGCAACCCGTTTAAGCCAGCAATTCAGCTTGTGACACATCTCATGATGCTGTTAATGGTGATGATGATAATGCAATTGACAGTTATCAGCGGGAACATTAATTTGATTACTTCTATATGAATTTATTGGTTAATTTGCTGGAGCATTTTACGATTATTGACTTTGACTGTTTTATAACCCACATTCGCCCCCCTTTTCATTCCCCTTCCACCAAATCGATTATCTCGGGCCATAATTTGTAATGCCGCGACTTAACTCTATAGAAAAAAAAATAACCGAGAAAAAACCGGGTTATTATTTTGCGGTTTAAGCGGCGATTGCAATTCATTATCATAGTTGCCGCCTCGCGTGCATTTAAATGAATTCATTGAGTTTCACCCATTCAATTTGTACATACGCAAGCATTTAGTTTTCAAAATGATATTTGCCATGAATGGTTATGACTATAGTTTGGATAGAGGGGGGTTGGGAGGTGTTGGTGGCACGATTGGATGGGGCTGAGCCGAGTTTCGAGTGATAAATGCCGTTTGATTGTAGTCTCGAAAGGCAATAATAATAATAATGCGGAATGGTAACATTGAGTTGGGCGCTGCTGTTCAAGTTTTATTGCCTTTTTCATTTTTTTTACTTGATATTTATAGTTGCTTATTAACGAAATTGGATCGTTAAATTTATTAACTCACCATAAAATGCCATAAATTTATTATTGAACAGCAGTAGATATCGATTCAATGACGGTTTATTTTTAAGTCTGTTCCTAATTGGTTTCTTATCGCCCTATAATTCCAAGTGTTTAGCTGATAATCCAACAACAAGATATAGTTTCATCGAAGTTTAGTTCTATGAAATTTTTTGCAAGCAAATTTAATGACAAAAAGATTGATTGATTGACTTGTAGTTTGACTTGGGAATCTCGATTTGATTAAATTACGGTGAGTAATACTTTATTTTAAAAACACTGATAGGGTGCCTCAATAGCACAGTCTGAATGACTTTAATATAATATTTGTTTAGGACTTTTTGAACAAGCATTTAAAATATTCAACAACTTGACCTTAAAAATAGGTGACGACCCCTTCATTTGTAATTAGCTTAAAGTCAAAAGCTTACTGTGTTAATATAAAACTTTTTTTTATGTATGCTAAACCCTCTAATGACCTCACAAAATAACAAGAAAGGAAAGCTAACTTCGGGCGGAGCCGAAGTTGATATACCCTTGCAGAATATTATGTACATTATATTCTTCAAAATTATTCATATGATGCATTCTTAATACTCATAAAGAATCCCAACTTCCTAACTTTAAAAACACCAAAGTTATGGCATTTCCAATCGTTCAGTTAAATGGCAGCTATAGGATATAGTCGGCCGATCCTTATGAAATTTGGTAGGTGGGATTGATTAACCAAATATAAAACCCATAGAAAATCCCAGCTTCCTAACTTTACAAACACCAAAGTTATGGTATTTCCAATCGTTCAGTTAAATGGCAGCTATAGGATATAGTCGGCCGATCCTTATGAAATTTGGTAGGTCGGATTGATTAACCAAATATAAAACCCATAGAAAATCCCAGCTTCCTAACTTTACAAACACCAAAGTTATGGCATTTCCGATCAATCAGTTATATGGCAGCTATAGGATATAGTCGGCCGATCCTTCTGAAATTTGGTAGGTCGGATTGATTGGCCAAATATAACACGCATAGAAAATCCCAACTTCCTAACTTTACAAACAGCAAAGTTATGGCATTTCCGATCAATCAGTTATATGGCAGCTATAGGATATAGTCGGCCGATCTCGGCCGTTCCGACTTATATACTGCGTGCAAAGGAAAGAAGGGTGTGTGCAAAGTTTCAATTCGATAGCTTTAAAACTGAGAGACTAGTTTGCGTAGAAACAGACAGACGGACAGACGGACAGACAGACGGACAGACGGACAGACGGACATGGCTATATCAACTCAGGAGGTGATCCTGATCAAGAATATATATACTTTATAGGGTCGGAGATGTCTCCTTCACTGCGTTGCACACTTTTGACCAAAATTATAATACCCTCTGCAAGGGTATAAAAAACGCTTGATGTAAATTGACTTTTAACCCAGCCCAACCCCAATTAGAGTGCCATAACAATTCCGCTGTATATCTTGTACTTCAGTTGTCTGTTTCGCTTTTCACATATTTAAAATGTTCCAAGAATTAATTAACACTTTGGACAAAAACTATTATTTGTGTGCGAGTACAAAAAATTAACATGACAGCTCTAGACATGGCAATTTATCACCAGCGTATACAACTCTGCTCGACTCATTTGTTGTAGCCTGGCATTTCTGCTGTTGCTGTTGCTGTTGATGACACTTTAATTAGAGCCACACGCAAACACAAAGCCGACACACGGATGGATGGCAAAAGAATGGCCCATTTGGGGAGGGTGAAGGGGGAAGGGGGGTGGGAAGGAAAATTCGCCAGGGGAAAAGCCTGAGACAGAGCCGTTATGTCAAGCGCACACTTTAACTGCCAGATCCGACCAGTCGTTGGGTTATTTGGTGGCCCAAACCAAACCAAACCAAGCCAAACCAAACTGATGGCTGCGTGTGGTTAACTGAAATGAACGTCCGACTGCATAAATGGCCGCTTGACTGACACATTTAATTATATTAATGATGTTTGCGGTCAGCTGACATTTGCACTTTATTTACCTTTTCCTGCCGCTTCGTCAGTTTAACTGACTGGTCTTGAGCTCATGTTAAGCTCTGACATGAGCTGAGCCCGGCCGAACTGGAACTGACTTTCACGTTCAGATTTTGAGTTATTGCCCAACAGATAGCTCGCAGTCGCATTTATTTCCATTTTGCGACGCCGTTTCCTTTTTCGGTCAAAAAGTTTTGTAATTTTTCAACATGTGACAGCAAATTATCAACAGTCACTTCGGAGATCTCTCTTTCATTTTCGCTCGCAGTATCTACATATATATATCTCTTCCCGTCTCTGTCTCCGCTTTTATGGTCTGGGGCGCCACATAAAAGATATACAAATGATGACACTGACAGCTGTCAGACTTAGTTTATTTGATTTTATTATAATTAATTATAAGCAGCTGCCATTAATCATTGAATAATTTATACGTTCGCAGATAGTATCTCAGATAAAGCACAAAAGAAGAAGGTTAGTCAGTCACCGGGAGACACGTAAAGCTAAATTTACTTAACACTTCGCAGCCAGTTTATAATATATAGAAAAAGTATATTTATTACTTTATTATTATTATCGTCATAAAAATATTTTCTGGGCCTTAGAGCTTTTCAAAAGATTTTTTGAATATTTTTTAATATAAGGCAACATTGCTGGTTGATCTGAATAGCATCCCATTACTTTAAGCCCGTTAAATAGTAATGAATCCCAGATTTATAGAATCCGTCAGTCACTTGGCACCGGAACGAATTGAGATACGATCCGTTGATTTATAGATTTTGCCTCATTTGCGCTGCTGAACAAGATTCACACGACCAATATGGCGGATTGGCTGGGGCTCTTTACCGAAATCCGTAAATCACGTAAGCTCCGAAAACGCTATTTCAAATTACCCAGTTAATGAATGTACTACTCATCGTGCTGGTGCCATAAACTGCTTCCGTTCTTTATGAACAAAATGCGCTCAACAAATTAAAATGAAAATTTATGGGTCTCACACAACAGTTCGAAGAGAGATAGTTTGGATAAAGTGGGAAAGGGGAAATGGGGACCACAACAACTTTGACTCTGATTAACTGCCATGGTTCCTCGAACCCTGGCTGTGTGTGTGTATGTGTGTGCGAAATTGCATTTGTTTTCTGTCATTATAAATTCAAATTTGGCGCGCCATAAATTTGCATACAATTTCCAGAGGTGCATACACTCTCTAAACACTTCTCCAGACGGAGGCAGCTCGGCTACAGATTTACATAGTTTAATATGAACAAACATAAATAAGTTTTATGTGCAGATATTGGAGAATTTATCGTTCTACGATTGTGAATTCGCTATTCGCCTTTTCCCCTCCTCCGAAAACAGTTCCGTTTGCGAGCACATGGAAAAAAGTCTTCTGGAAGTTTAGAGGAGGTTGTTCGGTTAGGATTGGTTCGCCCGTGGCGAGTGCTTCACAGTCGACATTTTTATTATTTATGAAATATTGCTCGACAATCTATTTCAGATGTCCGAAATGTCGATAGTTTGTTATTCATGGCTGTTAGTTTTATAATCGAATGAAGCGAATTGGATGTTATTGCAAATATCCTTGTTATTCATTTTACATTCACTTAACAATGATGATCTTGGAATTCCTTTTTTTTTAATATGTTTTTTCATGCTTAAAAATCGAAAGGTAAGGAAAACCAATTTGATAAGGTACAAAAACTTAAAAAGCTGACTAAAGTGTGTATGAGAAATGAATATAATGCGAAATTAGCAACGCATTATAAACAATTTTAAGTGGCATACTTTTGAAATTAAAATGTAAAAACAATTTTGAAGTCTGTATATAATTATTATACAGGATAAAATCCAGTTGCTGGGAAATAAAATATCTATAAAAACGTATAAAATATCTAGAAGTACTAAGATAAAAATGTCAATTTTATTTGTTTGGAATCCTTTCGAATTTAAGTGCATCAAACAGGTTTGTAATCGCATTAATCACTGACCTGAATTGAGCGATAAGAGCGGATAAATTCAATAAATTTCTGATTGCCGCAAGGTGGTAATTTTGAATTATACCCCAAAAATAAGACAAAAGGAGCAGAGATGAGGGCTTACCGCTGTTGGGGCAGCTGCAGCTGTCATATAATCCGGCCTTAAATAATGATGATTGCTGGATTGCAGCATTTTATTATAATTTGTTAAATCCACTTTGACGGCTTTTCTTTGGTGGTTCGGTGGAGGTGTTGATTGGTTGTTGTTGCTGTTGTTGTTGTTGTTATTGTTTGTTGTTATTGCCTGCCCCGACCGCAAAGTACGGCAGCGCGCTTAACGGTAAATGCCAATTTATGTGGCGTGTGCTGCCAACTCGTGTGAAAAGCGGCGCCTGCGCCTTGCCTGCTAAATATTTTCCAGCTGCCTGACTTTCCGCTGATTAAGCCGTCCACGTTCCGCGGCTCTTGTTGATGTGTGTACTTATTTATGATTATTTATTTATTTGTTTTTTATTCCGATTCGCAATCGTTATTGCTGCTTGCTGGGCTTTGTTTGTAATTCGATTTCATTAATAATTCAGTGCTGTTGGCGCAAGGGGGGATATTTCTCATGCGTCGAGTTGTGACTTTCACGCCAGCGGCATATTAATTTGTTGTTGTGTATTAGTTGGCTTCGCTTTAATTGTGCAATAAATTCATTAAGTATTATAATTGCCTCAGCTGTATTTAATATTTATATACACGAAATATGTGTGTAAAAGAATTTACACTTTACTTTCTTTTCTTGCTGGGATATTTTTGTTGATTCACGCATAGGTTTTTGTTATGTATTTATGGGTTTCCTTTGTTAGATACATATACTTTTATATTTCTTTGGCTTGGCCGTTTTTGGTTTGTGGTTTCGCTCGAATGCCTCGTTGAGGGCGCGTTTTATGATGAGGCACGTACGTTAGATGGTTCCGGAAACGTGGGGTTATCCAAAAGTTAGCTATTCACTTAGTTAATTTTGTTTCACATGTATAAACGTTGTTTTGAACTCAGTCTAAATTTGATAAAGCACAAAGATCACTCGAAAACGATTCAAAAAATAGGCGACTTTTTTGGGGGAAGTACATATGTATGTGTATATATCCGTGGTAATTCCGCCTGGCCGATTTACGCTTTCGCACTCACAACACAACACTACGGTCGCAACAGTCCGTCCGTTCAGCGCACGTACGAACTTTAAACGTGAAAAACCGAAATTCGACTAAAAATCTATAAACAACATGACGTGCACGCTCCTACTCGCTCTCTCCGCGCTCTTTCTCTCACTAGTTTTCGCGCTCGCTGAAAAACCAGTTCGCTCTTTGTTGTTTGGGGCCGTTTTCATTTTCAACAAGTGTGCTTTTGTTGTTGTCCGAGGCCATGCGCTCCCCTTTTAGAGAGTGAAAGAGCGGTAGTTGGTTCCGAGCAGAGAGGGAGAGAGAGAGAAAAAGCATAAGTTTATAGTGCGCCACTCTTTGCTGAGCGCGCATGCTTTTTGCTGAGCCAGCAATTTTGGCGTGGGAGCGGAGAGTGAAAAAGCGCAGTAGATCTGGTGGTTTAGTAGTAGATGGTAATAACGAGGCAGAAAAGTAGTACTGACAATGGGAAGCAACGGAAATTTTTGAAATGTTGGGTATTTTTATAAATTTGTGGTAAAAACGTGGTATAAACTTTCCAGAAGATTAATATAGTCTTGCAATAGAAAATAAAACTGCCTGTAAAAACTGTAGTTTCCATATTGTTGAAAATATACAATATTAATTTTATTTCATCTTAGAATTTTACAAAATGAGTTTTAGTAAAATAAGGTTGAGGTAGTACTTAAAAGTTATTACTTTTAAAATTGGTAAGCAGATGAAGCAGAGAATTTTTAAATATTACGTATACGACCAGTTGTCAGAATGAACTCTCAAATCTACCACAAATCAATTGTATGGTGAAACAGTTTATTGTAAATAGATTTGTCTTGTTTTTTAGTATTTTTCGCAACTGTTTAGTAAAAAAGGACATCCTAGGATATTCTATTTTATTAAATATTAATGTTTATAACAACGTCTAGGTAAAACTATAAAAATTTGTTTTTAAATAAGAAGATAAAAGTCCAAAAAAAGGCCACACTCACACACATAGCTGGCCACACCGACACCAACACGCTCATTGGGCGATCGACGCTTCTGTGTAGCCATTTTGGGTAATTTTGTTGCTGCCGTTTCGCAGTGTTTTGTGGGGAATTTATTTCCACACATATGTGTGTGCAGCCATGACGAGTGTGTGCGTGTGGAGAGCGCAACGGCGTCGGCCATAATTGTTTACGAGCAGGTGGGCGAGTGGGCGTGTGGCGCTTGTTAGCTTATGTGTGTGTGTGTGGCGAGAGGGTGGGGGATGTGTTAAAAGCTGCAACCGAGCAATTATGATTTACAGCATTTACAGAGAGCCAAAAGGAGAGCGCCAACTTCCTGTCGAGAGAGTCATATTAGAGCAGAGAACAAGCCCAAAACTTGGTCCATTTTCCTCACTTTACTGAGAGTTTTCCCCCACTGTAAACAGAAAACAGCTGGCGGAAAACTTATCGTGGGTCCAACATGAAGACGGGAAGTGTCTGATATTAACTTTTGACTAATTTTGCGCATTGGTTTTACTATGGAAAGTTTTCAAGCCCTATTTGTCGCTCACGAAAGTTTAACTGTTTTACAAATTTCCAAAGTCTTGCTAAGGATTTGGCTTTATTTTTCTAATTTTTAAACTCAATTAGTCATTTTCCAAATTAGTTAATTGCTATTTATTTCTTTTTATTTTAAGTATGCAAAATGCTTAATATCTGAATCATAACTCCCACCTTAAAGCTATTTAAAATATCATATATAATCTAGTCAAATTGCTCTATTGAGGCCGCATCATCGTAAAAAACAAAAAATGGTCGTAAAAACAAACCCAAATCCACGCAATTGGTTAAATATTCAAAAGACGAAATCTTGCTCTGGCTTTAAGGCATTAAAATGTTTAGGATTTGAAAGAGAAACACACAATTATACTAATCGTGGCGCTTTGAATTAACAATCGACAATTTACATATTTTGGCCATATATTGACAGCTGCCGCTGCTGCCCCACGCCTTTTTGAAAGATTTTTGGTGATGCTCTCATAAAATGCCCCCCGTCCATTGTGGTATTTGTCATGTTCATTAAGAAGCTTTTGAAAGTTTCGCCATTCAAAAACCATAAAATGTTTATTTAGATGCCATTTTAATGGCGGCCAGAGTCAAACGTTTTATAGCTTCCTTTGTTTCACAATATTGTTTTAGTTTCATTTTTGGACTTAATAGACTCATTTCTGGTTTAACACAAAACAATCGAGTTTCAATTAACCACACAAAAAGTATATGTCTTTCTCGTTCTCTCTGGCAAACCGCAAAATTAAGTGGCTAACAGTATTTTGTGGCCACAACACATTACAAACCACAAAAGGGGGAAAAAAATAATAATAGAGAACCCGGTTTGTCCATATCCCTTTTTTTGTGTGTTCCTCCGCCGCGCCCAAGCGAATATCCCCAACAGACAAATGAGAAGGGGTGCGTGTTTCACGGTGCGGGGGTCGTTTCCGTTTCGGGCTTTTGTTAGCATTTTAGCAGTTCATTTATGTGGCTCACAGGATGAGGATGCGGCACATGTGACCGGAAAAGCCCTTTAGTAACACAAAATGGTCACCAAAGTGGTTGAGTGCTTGTTAGTTTGCAGGATGTCTTGGGCTAAATTTGAGCTTTGGCAATGTGTTTTTTTACATATCCTGTTTCATTTTAAACTTACTGAAGGAAAAAATGTATTTAGGCAATATAGCCAAAAATAAAATTAATAAATTGCGAAAAAATGTTATTTTTTTTAAATTTGTTTAAATATTTTATTAATTTGCATGCTAAGAAAAGCCTTGTAAAATTAACTAGGTATCTAAAATGAAATATAATTATCCGCAGTGCTGCCATTTGTATGCACCCTCTTTGGAGATGCTGCAGTAGTCCTCATCTTCATCTACTTACCCGTTGCTCGATTGCAGTTAAGCATTCCCCTTTGCCACGCTTTCTCTTACGCTTTTCATCTTTTTACCCTTTGGCCATATTTTCCAGGCGACTTTCGTGTTGTACATGTATGTGTATGAATTATATGCTGCACACTTTTTAACCCTTGGCATATTTTACAAGCTGCTTTACTTGCCTCATACTTATGTTGGTACTCTCCAATAAACATACAAACGCACTTACCCTGTGTTTGTACATGGATGCCAGGAGTGTGTGTTTGTAGGTTTTTGCCTTTTTTTCTACTCGTTTGTCGTGGCCTCAAGTGCGCTGGCGAGTTCATAAATTTGCCCACTGGGGCGTATGAGTAATGTGCCAAAGGGGCTTCGCTTTCTTCATGTATAAGTGTGTGCAACATTGCAAAAACGGTAGGAAAAATGGAAAAAATCTAAAAGCCACAGGCCAACAGGCAACATATGTTGGCTTCAATTTAATATTCTTTCATTCAGAGAATTGGTTTTCAATAGGTCGTGCTTTAAACAACTTAATATTAATATCATATATTTAGAATTATATTATTTATATGTGCATAGTTCTACTGAATTAATTTTATTTCAATAATGTTTATAAGCCAATAGTTTTATAATTTTATTTAATTATTGTTTCAGTTAAAAAACTACCCTACTACTAGATTTTATAAATTGTTTTTAGCCTAATGAAGCAACAAATGTGAGGGTTAGCCTAATGAAGCAACATGGCTATGTAAGAAATGTGAAGGTTATAGGCTTTGGCTATTACTTTTTATGCTCTTTAACTTATACTAAACAATTTAGTTGTTTTGAAAATATGTAATGGAGTAACTAAGTCCTAATTGATTGCCACTTTTGCTAAGTCTCTTAAATTTCTTTCTTTCTAATCTTTTAGCATTTCATGTTTATTGTCCATTATTATAATTGCGCAATCTTAGCGTTACAAAAGGTGTCCCGGTCTTGGGCCAGTTTTTCTTTAGTTGCCCACATCCGGTCAACTGCTGGCGTTTATCATAATTGCAGCTCATTTGCATGCCCGAGAAAATGCAGCTTGCTTTTCACATGCATTTTTTGCTGGCGCTGCTGGTGCTCTCTTCATCTTTTCTGCTGTCGCCTGTCGCCGCCTCTCATGCGGCAACAGCAACTGTCGCCGTTGCTGTCACTTGATGTCGCAACGCATTAGAATATGTTGCATGTTGCCCCTTTTGGCCCATTCCCCTCCCCTCCCTTCGCCACTAGACAACCAGCAACGGGTTGCAGTTGCATATGCAATATGCAGGCGCGGGCAAATTTTTATCTTATGACAGCTGCTGCTACCTCTCTTGTTGTAATACCCTTGCAGCGGGTATTTGAGTAATGCAAAACATTTTAAAATCCAACAACATACTTTTTACACTGTGCTAGCTGCAAATTATTTCTATGCAAAGGTCTATTAGGATTAGTGTTAAAAAAAATTGTATTGGAATTTTTATTTACATAACAAGGTCATATTTACATTTCTATAAACTTACAGAAATTATTGTGAGGAAACTTTAATTGCCCTATAAACTTATTCAGGAAGTAAATAATGTTGCTAGTGCGAACAATTTTAAGCGTTTCTGCATTTTTCATTAAAAAAACCTTTTGAAATAAAATTTGATTTAAAATACAAATAAAAATCCTTCTTTAAAAGATAAATTAAGTGGTATGATTAAAATATTTTGTGGTTTTAAGGATAATTTTTTTTGCTTGGTATGGCATTTTAAGAATCTAAGAACCACTGGAAAATAAGTGAGGGCATTTATCAATTCGTTCTTTCTTTTTATATTTTGGGATTCAGTTGCAGTTGCTAGTCGGAAAAAATATGTTGCTGTCGTGCCTGGTATTGTTGGTGTTGCTGTTGCTGTTGCTCCGCTACATGTTATGCCCTACGCACATGCGGCTGCTGGCTGAGGAACACACAGTCACACTCACGAGTGCTTTTGGGGCTGCAAGGAGGAAAAGGCGCCCGAAAACAAATGTCAGCTGTAAAAATCATAAATTTAATGCAAAATGCAAAAACGCTTTGCGCTTCGTTGCGCTTTTACTCTCTGACAGGTGACCCCTCATACCTCGCATTTAGTGAACCCAGCCCACAGCACTCTGCAATTCTGCCTCTTCTAACTGAAATATGATATATGCGAAGTTTAAAACGGAAACTG